GGTTTGTATGCATGGCACCCCTTCTGCCCAGGAAACCTCCGTTCCCCTCCCCACCCCCTTTTCAACCTTGAACTGTATGAAAAATGCAAAACAGCCCCTAGTGCATGATGATCCATTCCTGAGAGTTTTGTGAGTAAGAGTACTGAACTCTGGCTTGGGTTCTATTCCCAGCCCTGCCACTGGCATGCTGGATGACCTACAGCAAGTCACTTCCTCTCTGCCTCAGTTTCCCCATTTGTAAACAATGGGAATAAAATGATGCTAACCTCATTTTGTAAAGTGCATTGAGATCTGCTGATGGAAAACCATGTAGAAGAGCTAGGAATTATTATTAAAGGCCAGCATCGTCTATAGTGAGCACAAAGCTGGGAGCCAAATTGATAGAGCCCTGTGCAGATACAGATTTATACCCATGGATGCAAATCTGTATCCATGGAACCCCAGGGCTCTCCCAGGAACTGCAGCAGTGAAAAAGGAAGAATGTGGGGCCGCCTCTCCCAGGGGCTCCCTCTCCTGCAGCGTAGCTGTACTTTCCCCGGCCCTGCCCTGGTCCCTTCCATGCAACTGTCTGCGTCTATTGTCTGGGGGCGTGCGCACCACTAGAACACAAGTTGACAGTGAACCTGGTGCCCGCCCCAGTGGGCGGGACTGGGGTCAGTACAACCACGCCAGAGGAGCTGCCGGCTCGGGGCACTGGCTCCTGGGAGAGGCGGCCCCACGCCCTGCTCCTTTCACTTCTGCAGTTCCTAGGAGAGCCCTGCAGTTCCGCGGGTACCAATTTATATCTACAGATATCCACATCTGAGAGTATAAATTTGTATCAGTGCAGGGCTCTACAAATTGATGTTGGTAAAGCACATCAGGATTGCAAAGTATTATTAAAGCCAGTTAGTGGTGCTGGTTGGCCTAGAATGTGGGATGTGGTCCCACATTGTGCTCTAGCCTCACAAGAGCAGATGGACGGGACAGGCAGCATCACATTCTTAAGGAAAAACTGGTCATCTGGGTTTTTCACTAACCACCTCCTAGAATACACAGGTGCAATGTCGCACTCGTTTGGAAATTTTGTTTAAAAATGCTCTAATTCTGTAGACGTGTTGGGTACGCAAAAGCAGGTTGATTGAACTGGGGAAAGCTCAACACTCCAAGACATCCGGGCATTTGCTCACGCTGCCCCAAAAGGGGGTCAAGACAGATGGCCCCTTCTGAACTTACCATTTCCCTGTTTAATCTCACCCACTGGTAGCAATACCTTTCAGAGCTATTGTAAGAAAGACAGAGTATAAAGAAAACCTTTGTTAAGCAACTATTTAACTCATTACCCCTACCACATTTCTTAGCCCTGGTCTGGGGGGGGTGATTGATTTAAGTTACACAACTTCAGCTACATGAATAATGTAGCTGAAGGTGACGTACTTAGATCGACTTACCGTGGTGTCTTCGCCGCGGTGAATCGACTGCTGCCGCTCCCCCATCGACTATGCCTGCGCTTCTCGCAGCGCTGGAGTACAGGAGTCGACGAGAGAGCGCTCAGGGATTGATTTATCGCTTCTAAACTAGATGCGATCAACCCCCCCGCTGGATCGATCGCTGCCTGCCGATCTGGCGGGTAGCGTAGAGTTCTTTTAATTTCAATTGCTTAACTAAACAAAAATGATTTGAAAGTAGATTTATAGAATTTATTAAATATCCTTAATTAACACTAGCAACTAATCATATACGATAGAAGGCAAAAATGGTATTGGACTATGATTTGGTTACATAAATTAGAACATTGGTTGATACAGCTGTTTAGGTTTTCAGAATCAAAGTACACAGAATAGAGAATAACACTTATACTCAATTACTGGCTTGGAAAGTGACTTTGTTTAGATTTTTGACTCAGTCCCTCATCCTCACTTGCCAATTAGTTACGGATTTTGATGATGCTAACACAACAGAAGAAGCACAAACCAAGGCTAGATCACAAGACAATTTGGTCAATTATTTACATTCCAGTTCATCAAGGTCTCCTTCCTAATATGTAGTAGTCAGCCCTTGTTGCCCACTTCCCAGTGAATGATTGTCTCAGGATCAGATAAACACTCCTAACTACCTAAAATAAACTCCTACATTATGATAGACTGAGAGCAGTACAAAAATTTTGAAGGCTTGGTCTCACTTTATATCTACATACACCTAGAACTTGAAAAGCAGTATGAAACCATTAACTAGGGTAAACACATGTACAGTTCTACAGTTCACAGTACATGTAGTTAACAGTAACGTCTTCAGTTTTAAATCTACTTTACCACAATCTTAATTGGAACCTGTTCCAAAATAAAGACATACACACTAACTCTGTCAGTCTATAGAGCACATACACAAGCATGTATGCTTCCTCACTCATTAGGTACTTTGTTTCAAGTGGTGGTCAGTGAGTGATTTGGTTAGTCACCCAAGAGAAAGTTTGTATTACTTCTCACCAGATCTTTACTCAGCCACCAGCCTTTAGCTCAGTTATTATTCATAGCAGGAGTTAACGCTGCAAACATAGGTGGAGTGAAGGACAGACAGGATTATAGTCTCTTTCCGATGAACTAGCAGGCAACCTGAATTGCTGGAAAATAAGAGACAGTTAAAGGTGCCTATCCAAGATAGGTACTTTACTTGGAGTCACCAGGAGGCCTCCCAGGTGGCCAGCCTAGGACCTCAGTCATCTTTCTAGGCATCTTTGGCTTTTGGGCAGCAATGTGCTGAAGAAAACAGGTTGTTTTATCCTATCCCATGTGGTCCAACCTGGTTCCTTTTCTTGGAGGTGCTGATGTGGACCATTCAGATGGTGACTCCTATTCTTTGATGCTTTTTAAACTTGTTCTAACAGTCCATTCATTATACAATACAAAGTGACTTCAAGAACTGTTGTTCTCCAGCAGTATAAACTGGAACAGCTGTATAAACCTTCCATTTTTGTTCTCCTTGTTTTAACAACAATAGTAGGACCTTAGTATGTCTGGCTGAGCTGAGTCCATGTGTTATTAAACAAAGTAACATTTCTGATATATTCCCTTCTGTGATCAAGTGTCCTTATAAACGCACTATTTGGCTTCAGTTGCTTTTATTTATTACCTATTTCAACAGAGGTATATTTTGCTAATGTTATGGCATAGGCATGCTTGATTGTAAATATTAGCCTTACTTCTTCACTTTCATATTGATTTAATTTAGTAATAATGTACTCCCTTGCCCTCCCTAACAGGATTCCCCATGAGATAAACCTGTCATTAAAGTTTCTTCATCCAATTAAACATAAGAATTGCCTTACTGGATCATACCAGCTGTCTGTTCAGTTCAGTATCCTCTGTCTGACTGCTTCAGGGGAAGAAATCCTGCTCTGCTAGTTATGGGGTAACCTGTGCTTAGTAGTCAGTGATTGTTTTATGTCTCAAAACATGAGAGTTTAGATCCTTTTTCTAGCTCTCTTTAAGAATATTAATTATAGCAACACTGGCTATTCTTGTTCTCCATGTCAGTTTCCAATCCTTTTTTGAATCCTGCCAAGTTCTTGGCTTCAGAGGTCTGGCTTTAGAAATGGGAGGGTAGGTTATCCTAAGTTGCTTCATGCCTAATAAAGTGTGTGTTGGACGGGTCCACTGAAATGAGGTTTTGCTTTGAGTAGCTATGAGTGAGAGTTAGGATTGCACCTTTGGTGAGGTTGTGTGTTTGTCCCTGCCTTTCATAGAAAGGCATTGTGGCTCTGTAGCATACTTAAGTGGCCGCCATCATCAGTAGAAAGGTAGGAAACATATACTGTTGATGACTTTTATAAGCAAACTTCTAGCAGATTAATTGGCAAGAATTGAGAAGAGCGTCAAAATTGGATGCAGGAGCTGGAGGCAGGTGAATCAGGAGGAAATATTAAGAGCTAGACAAGTTGGCTAGAACAGCACAGCAGTAAGTCACATTCAAGATGTTATCATCACAGCCATAAAGGCAAGAGACTATTTCTTTTCAAATGATGCTTCCATTCGGCATACACTAATGGGGCACCAGTCTGTATCAGCTCCATTGTTGCTTGCTCCGAACTATGCCCCTTTGTACTACTTTCAGCAATTCTGATCGATGCCCCTCTTTCTATTTTTGTACCCTTCATATTCCTCTAGGCTCCATGTACCCTCACTCACCAGTGCTCTAATCCAGGAGTTCTCAATCCTTTTCTTTCCGCCCGTCCCCTGTGGGCTCCCGTCCCCTGTGGGCTCCCATCCCCCCCCCAAATGCTGTAAAAACTCCATGACCCACCTGTGCCATAGCAACTGGTTTTCTGAATATAAAAGGCAGAGCCGATGTTAGGGGGTAGCAAGCAGAGCAGTTGCCTGTGGCCCCACGCCACAGGGGCCGGCAAAGCTCAGTTGCTCAGATGCTGTGGCTCCAGTGAGTCTAATGTTGGCCCTGCTTGGCAGACCTCCTGAAACCTGTTCACAGCCCACTGCAGGCCACAGAACCCTTTCTGAGAACTGCTGCTGTAGGAAACAGTCCCCAAGGGTTCCCTGCCGAGCTTAAGGGTTCAGTTACTTTCACATTTTTGAGTGCGGGGGAGGGGAGATACAGAAACTGGTTTTAGACCAGCTAGTTTAGAAACCCACTTTATGAATAAACAAGGGCCTGATCTTGCCAACTACTACCCAAGTGAGTCATCTGTATTTGAATAGTCTCTGACTTCAGTGGGACTAGGCACGTGAGTAGGGATTACTTACACAAGTAACAGTTTGAAGGATTGAGGTTTATGCTTTATCAAACAGCCCCCATTATGGTAACCCTAGCCTCAGTTTGCTGATATGGTTTGACATGTCAGAATTATTTAACTGCTGCGTAGCTCGACCAGCAGCCCATCCTGTTCTTCCCAGCACGAGGCGGTATGTTAAGAAATGACTTGACATTCTTGTTCTGAAAAGCAGCTCGCTGCCTTAACCAGTGAGCAGAGGTGAGCAACCGGTGTGGCTTTGTCTCCTTCTTGCCAACAGGAAAAGAAGAAGAAAAAGAAACACAAGAGCAAGAAGTCATCAGAGTCCGACAATTCAGACAGCTCCGACTTGGACAGTGATGGGGCTCAGCCAGCCAGCAAGAGGGCCAAGCGTTCGGAGAAAGCTAGTAAGCCTCAGAAAAAGAAGAAGAAAAAGAAGCACAAGAAAAAGCACAAAGAATGAGAAGAAGAGGAGCTAGAAAGGGGCACTGGTGTTGTCATCTCCCTGCCTGCCTGCTCTAGCCTTCTAGAGTAAACTATCCGGAGAGAGTAGAGTTAAATCACTACACGCTTCTTTCAGGGATGAAGAGCTTCCTTCTTAAAGCAGCATTCAGTCACTGATGTTAAAGATGTTGACTATGAAATTAATTATCCACTGTAAAGTTACACAGGCTGCCATTCTCCTGCTGAGAGGCCAATGGTTCTGCCTGCCAAAATAGATTAATTATACCCATTCATCAGTGACTCTCCCATCGTGTAAAGCTTCACGTTCCTCTGAGTGAGCTGCCAGGGCTGCAGTGAGTTCCTTTGAAACGGCAAGGAGTGTGCAGGACAGCAGCAGCGTATCCAGTGCCTGTCAAAGGGTGACAGCTGTGCCACTCGGGTTTGGTCCCTGCAAAACATTAGAGGGAGCCACTCACACACCCTGTCAGCTGATTGTCTAGTCATGGGCACTGCCTCCCTGCTAATTGTTACAGTTATCACCTCTCCGCATCTCAGTCCTGCTCTATGCACTGTTTCTGTATCCATGTTACTATGTGGCTGGGGGTGTGATTTTTGTTTGCCGTAGAGTTATACTGGGGTAGCTCCTAGTGTGAACTCCATTATACCCTTATCATAGGCGCTGACTGCATGGGTGCTCTGGGGCAGCTAGGGGGAAAAAATAATAGTGGGTGCTGAGCATCCACCAGCAGTCCCACAGATCAGCTCCTTCCCCTCCCTCCCAGCGCCTCCCGGCCGCCGCGATCGGCTGTTGAGTGGTTTGTAGGAGGTGCTAGGGGTGAGGGGGTGGAACGGGGCAGGAAGAGGTAGGGTGTGGTGAGGGCAGAGTGGGGGTCCAGCACTCCTGGGGAAATCACAAAGTTGGTGCCTCTGGTCCTTATACTGATACAGCTTAATCCCCTGCCATGCAGGAATGGCTGTACCAGTATAAGGCGTCTTTATAGGAAAGTACATCCACAGTAGGGGGATTGTATTGCTTTAACTACACTGGGATAATAAAAGCAGAAAAACTTTTGTGTGTAGACAACCCCTCAATCTTGTCCATTCTGTCTGCTAGCAGTGGCAGAGGGTTGGCAACAAATCAGCTAAATTATGTTATGGAGACACTCAAGGTGAACATTAGCTTTGTCAGTATTGCTAGCTGTGTAAATTATGAAAAATAAACCTCTGAAATGCTAAATTACATTCTTCTGATGCTGTTTTGATTTTTTTTTGGTTGTATCTACACTCCAGACTCTGCTGGCATACCTATGTCAGTTGGGGGTGATTTTTGTCTGACAGAGCTGTGCCACAGTTATACCAGCACAACCTCACTTTTACCGCTATAGCTTGTCCCCTGTAGGGGGTGGCCTTACCATTCCAGCAAAAGCTCAGCTTTGTCAGTAGAGCTGTGTTCACACTAGGAGCTCTTTGCTGATCTAGTGTAACACTGTTCCTATACCAGTAAAGTGTTCCTGGGGTAGCTACAGTCGTTTGTCTGGGGCAGCAAAACAAAGGCCTTGTCTAAACACACAAGTTGCAATGGTTTATGGGTGTATTTCAGAGTAGTTGAAACCTGTTTCACATCCATGTAAGATAAACCTCTGTAGACCACCGTTAAGCTGAACTAAGGGTTGTCCCTATAGGGGGTTTGCATCAGTTTCAAATACCACCTTTAGTTAAAATGCTGCAGCTTTCTCATATAAATCTGCCCCAGACTGGTCAACTGACCTGACAAGGAAAAAAGGTGGCTTTGTACTGTCTTGCTAGTCTGATGTACAGAGAGAGAGCAAGTCTGAAAGTCTCTCTTGACAACTGAAGAACTAGAAGGATTCAAGTCAGAAAATATTATGATCATCTAGTCTAGCCTCCTGCATGACGTGGGCCAGAGAATGACATCCCTGACAACAAGGGTGGTTCCTAATTGAGAAGATAAGTGATTCTTACTCTCATTTAAAACTCTGATACACCTATTTAACTCACTAGGGAGAAAATCTCTCGGGGAAAGCCCTGGGTGCACTGAGGAAATTCACTGCAGTGTAAAAGGATATGCCAACTCTAATGTGACTGCACTGAACTGATGCAAAGTAGGGCTTCCATCAATACAGCTAAACCAGTAACGTACTGAAGTAAGCTACATGAGTGGAAACCCTGCAAAACCTTTTGTTTGTACACTGCAGAGTACAATGGGGGCCCTGATCACTGACCAGGCCCCTAGCCACTACTACAAGATAAATTTTAGTGCATTTGCAGCACCAGATTGAATTTCCTCAAGGTAGACAAGACTTAAGAATTCAGCCCTAGATTGAAAGAGCAGGCTATCGAGAGAGCTCTCATTCCACATGTGTTCTTCAGCGAAGTCAGGGAAGACCAAACATTTCTGCCACTTATAAGGTCTTCAAGCACTGGTGGCGTGGTGTGATATGCTTCACTTGAATTTTCAGTTCAAAATCAGACTCTTCTTTGAAAAGTCCCAAAGCAGGAATCCTTCGTTATCGAAAACTCATTTCCCAAACCTCAGTGTGACGGATCTAGCTGAGCATCCCTTTCTCCTAACTTTGATTTCCCATCTTCCCCTCTGCTCATATGCGCAGTATCATGCTTATGCTACACAGCAGCATTCTCTGCTGAAGTTGTGGTGTAAGGATTTGGTTATGTGGAATGATGTGTGTGTGTGTGTGTATATATAAATTATACTCTGAACAACTACTAGTAAAATTGCTGGTGCAAAAATATAACAGCCCGGAGAAAACCAGACTAGATTGTGACTCGTGCTTTCACGGCAGATACTAATCCATTGCAGGGGGACCACTAACAATGAAATCTTGAAGTGAGTCCTGTGTGGTTGGAGTAAAGAGACATGTTTGAAGGCTGCGTCATTGTGAGGTCTTCATACGAAACTTGGGGGCAGGCTGGAATTGCAATTTCAGCTTGCTTTTCTCTGTAGTAATCGTAGTGGAACACTGTCTTTTTAAACCACCGTGGCACCCTCTTAGCTGCCTGGTTACAAAACAAACGGGAACAGTGCCTGTTATGTCTGCATTTGGATCCAACTTTCCCCAGAGTAGTAGACATCTGTGTTGCCTGAACAGGCTCCTTAAAGGTAAGTCAGCCCTGGGAAAATGTTTTTCTCCTTCCTTAGCTGCAATTCTACCTGGGGCCAAGGCCCCTAGAGGGAGTGTAATGCAAAATGTGAACAAAGACAACTCATGGAGATGGAATGGGGAGGGAACTGGAGAGACTTGTGGAGCTGTATCCAGGTGAGTAGCAGCATCCCTCTGTTTTTCAGGACCCTTGAACCTAGCAGCTAGCATGTGATCCTAAAAGACCCAACTGCTGCTCAGCTTATTGGCAAATTGGAGGGGGATTGAAAGAAGATGGTGGAGGGACTGATCCAAGATTAAACAGTGTTTGATCAATCAATGACTAGAGCGTTGTGGAGTAGGTGTATTGAGGCCTTATGTCTCTGGCCACACTGCGTATCCCCAAAAAGAACAGGAGTTCTTAGAGACTAACAAATTTATTTGAGCTTAAGCTTTATGGGTATCCTGTTGTTTTTCCACTGGCGGGAGCACTAGTAGAGAGGCCAGCAGAGACCACTGATATTTTAAACACCAGGCTGCTTTGACCTGCTCTGAGCAGGGCTACGACTGTAGCTGGCTAGAAAACAGCCTTTCCCTCCCTGGAAAAATCTAGAATTTTTTAAAAGAATATTTGTTCCGCCCTGGCTGCCCAGTGAGCCTGGAAGCGAAGGCTGTATTAAGCTGCTCTGCCTTCCTTGCTAGGGTTTGTTGGTCTCTGCAAGTCCAAAGCCTACAGTATTACCGAAGCAGAACCCACCCCTGGCCCAGAGCAGAGAGTGAGGCCCATAGCTAGAGCTGCTGAAAATTAGTCCTGGTATGGAGATGGCTTGTGAGCCTTTCCCAGAGCAAGCCAGACACCAATCTGTAACAACTTTGGTTTATTATTTTCCGCATGGGGTTTTACAAGATTAAACAAAAACACAGTACCACAGAAAGCAGAGTCACGGGCAGAAGGGGAGGGCTCACCAGCACTGGCTCCATGCTCAAATATTCAGTTGAATACAAATTGGGGGGGAGGGGGAATAGGCAATTCAGTGAGTTCAGCACCGGGTGATCAGCAGAGAGCTGGCGTCTATGTTGCCTTTTCATACGTGCGAGTGCAGACAACAGTGCCCACGGTGAGAGTCTGGAATCAGAAACAAAACAAGGGAGGTTAGAGGAGGATTTGGGGTCAGTCCCTCGTCAGGAGCTTCACAGCTGACTTCCCCCCCCCCCCCAGGTTCTGTCAGGCATACACCGCAGGGCACGGCAACTTAGGCTGCATTTCAGGGAATTAACAGATCTTGGGATCTGCCCCCTAGCTTCTCTCTCCGCTTTTAACCTATCCCTGTAGGACAGATATTCAGCCAGCTGTTCTGGTTCTTCTAACCCGTCCAAGGCCTGGTCTACACTTGTTGGACTGGTTTAACTGTGGGTTGAGAGTGTATCTTTATACCGGTACCTCCCTGGTATATGTTGGTATAAATGTACCTTATTACCAGGATAGCTATTTCTCTTTCTGATAAGGGAATATGCACCTTTATGCTGATGTATCTTCTTCCACACAAGGGGCTTTGTACTGCTTTAACGGGGCTAGTTAAAGCAGTTACAACTTACTGCTGTAGACAGCCTCTAAGCTTATCTGATGCTACCCACTGATTGGCAATATCTTGAGTGAATGGAAAGGTAGGTGCTGTTAGCAGATCCTAGGAATGCTTTTGCCCTCTTACCAGAATTAACTTCCCATCCTCTAGTTCTCGGACTAAGGTCGTCTCCTTTCCATCCCATTTCTGCACATGGATAAGTTTTCCTCCATCTAGTGTCACAAGAGACTGCAGGGGAAGAGAGAGATCAAAGCGCATAGCACAGGAGCAGCACAAGTGGTTTAAAACGGGGCAATAAAATAGATCCTCCGTGGGGTAAAGGTTCGGGCACACGCAGCATCTCTGTTTGCACATCCCCAAGGATTTGCCCTTGAATCCAGGTCAGCAAGACCTTTTTATGTCTATCAAAGGGGTGAATGCCTGGGAACTGTGAAACCAAGGAAGGGGTGCAGGCAGAGTGGTGTCATTGCAGAAAGAGCCATCAGAATTAGCTCAGGGCTGGAGGGGGGGATTTTTAGATCTCACTGATGCTTGGTTGTTCACTGCTGCAGCTAGAGTAGGGCAGAGCATTCGCCCAGCCATCCTAGTGGCTGTATTTTGGTGGCTTGTACAAATGAAGTTTCTTGGTAGCTGCAGAGAGAATGGACCCTGCCCTCCCAGCTGCTAGAATTAGTTTACAGGGACAGTCATGGTGGCAAAGAGAGAGATTTTAATCAGGCCCAGAGCTACCGGGGAGCAAAGGGGACATTCTATCTCCCCCTCCCAAAAGATCATCAAAGGGTCCTAAATTGTGAGAGAGGCTAAAATATGAACCAAGTTGTCCAACGAAAAGCCATGAACAGCGGCAGATGGGAGAGTCTTCATCCTCGACATGCATTCTAAATCACAGCAAAATATTGACACCAGAGCTATGTTTTATTTGTAAACTCTTAAAATCCAAGATTTTCCAGGAGTTTCACCAGCCCCTGGACTTCTGGAAGATGGGTTGTTTTTTAAATAGTGATATCCAGGGGCCTCAAAATACCATTCCCCCCCGTAAATCATGGGACCCTAGAACTGACCCTGAGTTTAATGGTGCATCTTGACATGAATTTCCTTGGTGAGTTAATGTCAAAAAAGGGAGGAGGAGGAGGGAGTTTTTCCTACCCTTTGGTCCCACCTGAGGCTGCTCTTGCCTCAACCTTAAATTGAAGGGGCTGATTAATGTCCAGGGGGAATAAACGCTCAGGAGATCCACTGGGAAGATGGGGCGGGGGATGTTGCGGTTGTTATGTGAGAGTTTGGGGGTGGCCACATTGGTTTGGATAAGGAAAGGGTAGCCCAAGCTGCTACAGACCAGAGCAGAAGTTCGGTCGGGTTTGGAAGACTGAAGTGTGTCTGTTCATTGTGGCTGATGAGAACAGGTGTAGTTCTAGTGTCTCTCCCACAGCGAGGAGGGGATTGTCCAAACCTGCTCTCTCCTGGCGTGGCCTTCACTCCAACCTGACAAAGCCCCAAGGCTTCAATTACAAATGCAAACCCTGTCCTGAGACACCTAA